TCTGAAATTTTGAATCCCCAGTCGTCTGCCCACTTTGAGATTTGTTTTAGGGTGTATTGACGCGATTTTTTGATTATACCTATGTTATTTGAAGCTTTCCAGAACGAGCTGTCGTCAGCAAATAGTGCGGATTATGTGCCCCCCCCCCCCCGTAGCTACATGTAGGTAGATCATTTATCATTATATTAAATAGTATTGGGCTGATAACGGATCCTTGCGGCGTTCCGTTTTCCATTTTGAATTTGTCACTTAAGCAATTACCTACCCGTACTCTGATATGCCTATCGTTTAGAAAGTCTTCTATCCACTTGTACATTCGGCCTTTGATTATTGCGTTATACAAGGTCGAAGGCCTTTGTTAGGTCGACAAAGATTGCGCAGAGGTATTGTTTGGCTGTAAAGGCTTTGGAGATGTCATGTTGCAATCTAATGATATGGTCTGCTGTCGACCTGTCGGAATGATAGCCACTTTGCTGTTTTGTAAGGATGTTATTGCTTTCACAGTGAAATTTTAGTCTGTTTGTAATTATTGTTTCTAGTGTTTGCATAAAGTAGATGCGAGACTGACTGGGCGATACGACGTTGTTTCGTTTTTGTCTTTATTGTGCTTATGTAGGGGAATGACTGAGGCAGTCTTCCATTCTTTTGGTGTTTTTCCGTAGGACCATGAGAGATTAAAGATATCAAGGACTAACGCCAGTGCTTTCTCGGGTAGATTTTTCAGCATTGTGTATTTCACACAGTCTAGCCCTTCTGCACTGCTTTTTCCAACTCATCTATATTAATGGGACTGTTTAAATCTGATTCATTATCTGCATCTTTGTGTATTATTGGAGATTGGTTTTTTAAGAATTTACTTTTAATGGCCTTGAATGTTTCGTTGTGCTGGCTGTTGCTAGAGCCATCTGCAAAGGTCTGTCCTAAGAAGTTTGCTTTGTGCATGTTATTTAAGGCTGTTGCGGTTTTACAGGTTAATAGAGGAATGTTTTGTCTTACTTTTTTTACCGGTGATTCCTGATATTTTGTTCCATACTGTTTTTATGCTGGCTCGATCATTTAGGGAGTTACAGAAGTTATGCCAGTTTTCTACTTTGGCCTGTTTGATTTCTATTTCTGCGGAAAGTTTAGCATCAAGGTAATCAGTTCTAGTTTCTGCATTCGGCCTGCGTTTGTATTTTCGTAGCACCGATTTTCGGGTGTTGACTAGAGTTTGTAGATTATCCGACCACCAAGGTTTGGGGGATTTCCTATTGGTTTCTTTTGTTCGGGGGATAGATTGCTCTGCTGAGCCAATTATTGCTTTAGTTAGATTGTTTGAAAATGTATCGATATTGTCATGTCTTATTGACTCAAAGTCCCAGCCGTTGCACAGGTTTTTGTATAATTCCCAGTTTGTCTTATCCATTTTCCATTTAGCCTGACATTTGGTGTTTTCTGTGTTGGCAGTGTAAGCTATGGTGGTGTGGATTGCTATGTGATCGCTGCCTAAAGTTTCGTCTCCTACTCCCCAATTGCAATGAGGGAATACTTTTGTTGAGACTAGTGTCAGATCTATGTGGGTTCCTTGTTTACTTTTTTTCCCGACGAAAGTTGGCTCGCTATTGTTTTCATTGAGTAGTAGAAGGCTGCTGCCTTCTATGTACTCGTACAGTTCCTTCCCATATGTGTCGCTCGCTGGTGAGCCCCATGCCGTGTGATGGCAGTAGAAGTCCCCACATATGATAAGGTTGCCTCCCGGAATTTGTTTGAAAATCCTATCGTAGTCTTTATTTTTTGTTTTAGTAATTGGTGGGTTGTAAACGTTGATTATAATTAAAGATTTATTTGTTTGATTTATTGTTAATCTACTGAATGGGATGTTGTTTTTAACATAGATGGCAAGACCACCCCCGTTTGATTGGCCCGGTCGGTCATGCCTCGCCATTGTGTAACTGTCTAAATTGATATCATTCTTTTTGGAAGTTAACCGTGTCTCTTGTAGGCATAGTATGTCTGGATTGTTTTGATAGACATATTGTTTGAGTTCGATCAAACGAGACCGCAGTCCATTCACATTGAGTCGAAATATTGTGATTGGCTTCTCCATTGTGGATGATAGTGATTTGTTTTTTATACGCCCACATTGAAATGTGTCCGTCGGTCCGTCGTCCACAATTGCTTGTGGACGCTCTAGAGGCTAAAGTTAATATCCGATTGACTTTAAATTTATACACAGTGTTTAAGGTCATGAGACGAAGAAGCCTATTGATTTTCCGCGATTTCCGATAATTACTGCCAGAGTTATGGCCCTTGATCACTTTGAAAAATCTTGTGGACGCTCTAGAAGTCAAAGTTAATATCCGATTGACTTTAAATTTATACACAGTGTTTAAGGTCATGAGACAAAGACGCCTATTCATTTTCAGCTATTTTCAATAATTACTTCCAGAGTTATGGCCCTTGATCACTTCAAAAATCTTGTGGACGCTCTAGAGGTCAAAGTTAATATCCAATTAACTTTAAATTTACACACAGTGATTAAGGTGGTGAGACAAAGAATCCTATTGATTTTCAGCGATTTCCGATAATTACTGCCAGAGTTATGTCCCTTGATCACTTTGAAAAATCTTGTTGACGCTCTAGAGGCTAAAGTTAATATCCGATTGACTTTAAATTTATACACAGTGTTTAAGGTCATGAGACGAAGAATCCTATTAGCGATTTCCTATAATTACTGCCAGAGTTATGGCCCTTGATCACTTTGAAAAATCTTGTGGACGCTCTAGAGGTCAAAGTTAATATCCGATTGACTTTAAGTTTATACACAGTGTTTAAGGTCATGAGACGAAGACGTCTATTCATTTTCAGCGATTTTCAATAATTACTTCCAGAGTTATGGCCCTTGATCACTTCAAAAATCTTGTGGATGCCCTAGAGGCCAAAGTTGATATCCGATTGACTTTAAATTTATACGCAGTGTTTACGGTCATAAGATGAAGAAGCGTATTGATTTTCAGGAATTTCCGATAATTACTGCCCTTGATCACTTCAAAAAATCTTGTGGATGCTCTTGATGCTAAAGTTTTATCCGATTGACTTTAAATATATACACGGTGTTTGGGGTCATGAGACAAAGAATCCTATTAATTTTCAACGATTTCGGATAATTACTGCCAAACTTATGGCCATTGATCACTTTGAAAAAACTTGTGACGCCGAAGAGGCTAAAGTTATCATCCGATTGACTTCAGATTGATAATTACTTCATAAGTTGTTACTCTTTTAATCAGATTTTAGTGTATTATAAATGTTTCTTTACCAAAAAAAAGTAAAAAATATGCGACAAAACTTGTTGAATGCCCGGACCATTTAGCTGCTGTGGGCGTATGTTTCGTTGCCTGGCAACCTATCTTTTAAGGTTTTTTGTGATTACAATGCATCCTCCCTACTACCTACACTGCAATTACGTTTGTTTTGATTAGGTATTTCGGTCTCAGTGATCATGGGATTATCCCCATGTCTCGGTGTATTGTCTTCGTCTTCTGTGACAACTAAGTTTATGTTTCTTTTTGCCGCTTCCCTTGAGTGGCTTCGGCTTCTGCTTCGATATTTTGTTTTAGATTCGGAGGATGGGGGCATGACAGTGTTTAATGGGGTCTTCTCTGCTTGGGAAGGTTTCCCTTTGTTTTTTGGGGTTTGGGTAATTCTGGTCATTTTCGATGTGTTTGTTACATGATTTAATATAACTTTCCCTAGTTCCGCGTTTCTTTCTTCCTCATTTGTTATTGTACCTACTTTTGTCAACTCTTTGCAGAAGTTGACAAACTCTTTTATGCCTTTAAATTGGTGTGTGAAAGGTTTGTTGTTGTCCTTAGTTGCTTCCTCTTTGCTAGGAGGATTTGCTTCTTTTTTTGTTCGGGTACGGTTTTGTTATTTATAGGAGAAGTGGCGTCTTTTGGTGAATCAGCTCCGTGATTCCCTTTACAGTTAACACACTTTGCCTGTGCTGTGTTGCCCTGCATTCCTCAGTTTTGTGGTTGTTACCCCATTTGCCACAGATAGCTGTGCTCCTACAAAATTTTTCTAAATGCCCTATTCTTTGGCATTTTGTGCACCTTTTTAACTTTGGGGATATATGGGTGAACGGGTCTTCTTTCGTATAACATGTAGATAATACCCTGCGGGGTATCATTCTTTTTGAAAGTTAGTTGAACAGTCCTGATTGTTTTACCCTGTCGTATCGGGTATTGATAAATTGCCAGGGGATTGTAACCTCCCAGCTTAAGGTTGTCGAGGATCTCCTCGTCTGTGTAATCCTTTGGAATATTGTAAATTATTACTCTGTCTGTTTGGTTGTACTCCGACATGGAGATTTCAACCTTGATGTTTCCTAACATTTTAATATTTGTCGCCAATTGGGCGTCCTAAATATTTTGAAATCTTAGCCTAGCGTTTCCGTTTGCCAACATTCTGATGTCAGGGAGAGCTGCTGTCTTCCATTTTGTTCTAATCTCATCTCCGATTTTCGAAACTTTTGTGCCCTTGAAGTATTTTATTTTGCTTCAAATGTTATATATTATAGATTATTAATTAGACATTTATTTACACGAAAAGCCTATAATGACCTCTCTAGACGAACGGATGGTGCAGATGTAAATGGATTAAATACAATCGCCATTTAAAGATTTCATTTAAAAATGGGAAGCAAGACTGACTCTTGATTAACAAGAAAAATTGCTCAGATAATAAACATATCTGTCAAAACTCCAAACAGTGATTACATCGCTCAGAGTAATTTAAATAAAATTTTAAATATTTTACTTTTTAATTATTTATTTTGGAACTATTATAGCAAGAATGGCCAGTTCTTTATTTAAATCTTTTGTAATGCATCTTTATGGTATAAGAATTTATTTTAAATAGTTTTTATTACATTTTACGAGATATCATCTTTGTTTTTAAATTATAGCTGCCTGCAGAAAACAGGGCCATTCTGAGGCCAGCACTGAAGAACGTATCAAGGCATGGCTGCGCTTAGTTCGGACAGGGAGGGGGGCAGAAATCTGAGACGACAGAATAAGGAGCAGCATGCGAGGAAAGGTATGTATTTTGAAAATCTTCTTACATTCTTTTACGTGCACGCCAATGTATACATCGGACCTCAGATTTTCTTCCCATCCTTCCTGCACCACTGACAAGGGCAAAGCACGTCAGGATCAAACCTGCGACCTCTAGCCTAGCGACCCAGCGTCTTACTCACTTACCCAACTTGGCTCTTGAATGAAATGGTATAGGAACCTAAATTTCATATATTAAAATGAAAAAATAAATTATTGTTGATATTATTAGACATAAGTTTGTGGTAATAATTATATTTATCTAAATCATTATTTATTTGTAGCTACTGATGTTGAAGATCTGCTTTCCTCTGAAGAAAATTAAAGATATACTATGGAAGATTATAGATAATGAACTTACTATAATAGTTAAAACCTAGATAAGGTAAAGGGAATATGTTACAATTTATTCAAATACTTCACTCTAAGCCGTGAAAACCTTTTTTTAAAATCACTGTAGCTTTATCATTTTTACCGGTGTCAAAATAATTAACAAAGTCTTGATTATCCATTTTTTTCGAATGTGAATGTATACTGCTGTCACCCTTGTATGTGTATGTGTGTCGTCTACAATTTCTGTTTATTACGTCTAGAGTTATGGCCCTTGTTTCACTTTATTGAACCTTGTGAACGCTCTAACTCCAAAAGTTATCATCCGATCTTTCTGAAGTTTACATGCATTATTTAAATTAGTGAAACGAAGAAGTCTATTGAATTTCAGCAATTTCCGTTTATTACGTTTAGAGTTATCGCCCTTGTTTCACTTTATTGAACCTTGTGAACGCTCTAATGCCAAAAGTTATCATCAGATCTTTCTGAAATTTATATGCATTATTTAGATTACTGAAACGAAGAAGCCTATTGAATTTCGGCAATTTACGTTTATTACGTCTAGCGTTATGGCCCTTGTTTCACTTTATTGATCCTTGTGAACGCTCTCATGTCAAAAGTTATCATCCGATCTTTCTGAAATTTATATTCATTATTTAGATTGCTGAAACGAAGAAGTCTATTGAATTTCAGCAATTTCCGTTTATTACGTCTAGAGTTATGGCCCTTGTTTCACTTTATTGAACCTTGTGAACGCTCCAACGCCCAAAGCTATCATTCGTTACGTTTAGAGTTATCGCCCTTGTTTCACTTTATTGAACCTTGTGAACGCTCTAATGCCAAAAGTTATCATCAGATCTTTCTGAAATTTATATGCATTATTTAGATTAATGAAACGGAGAAGCCTATTGAATTTCAGCAATTTCCGTTTATTACGTCTAGAGTTATGGTCCTTGTTTCACCTTATTGATCCTTGTGAACGCTCTAACGCAAAAAGTTATCACCCGATTGTTGTGAAATTTATATGCATGATTTAAATTAGTGAAACGAAAAAGCCTATTGAATTTCAGCAATTTACAATAATTACTGCTAGAGTTATTGCCCTTGTTTCACTTTGTTAAACCTTGTTAATGCTAGATTGATGATAGTTATCATCCGATATGTATGAAATTTATATGTATCATTTAAATTTGTGAAACAGGTCTATTGAATTTCAACAATTTCCGTCAACAATTTCTAGAGTTATGGCGATTGTGAACGTTTGAATGACAAAAGTGATCATGTGATCTGTATGAAATTTATATGCATTATTTAAATTAGTAAAACGAGAAAGCCTGTCAAATTTCAACAATTTCTGTAGATTACTTCCAGAGTATAGACCCTTGTTTCAGTTTGTAGAACCTTGTAAACGCTCAAACGACAAAATTTATAATCTGATCTGTATGGAACTGTCTTGTAAAGGCTCCCAATTACCTACAAAGGAATAAATATGCGACAACCCTTGACGACCGCCGGGCGATTTAGCTGCTGTGGGCGTATGTTTTGTTGCCTGGCAACCTATCTTTTTATTTGTTTGTCGTTTACAGGCCGCAGCAGTAGCGATGCTCTAGGTGCATTTAATCATCAGTGGGCGTTGAATAGCAGATCAGATTCAAATCGAATGAAAATCAGACAAATAAGATTGCATCGAGAGTTGATTGTAGTCATTTAATGTTAATAAATATCTAATCAATATTTATATAACACTTCACACCTAAAGAAAGACCTGCAAACAGTCAGATTTAGCTCTTGCATAATGCATGTTTCATTTTAAAATAAACAGAGATATTAATAATCTTTTGCGGTTTTCTTATTTATTCAAGGAGTCAAAATTTGTCTTTGAGAATCACATGTAAAGTATGAATGCACAGTTCTTGAAGAAGCATGCCAAGTTTCATGTCATTGCACTTGAACTGTGTGAGGCTTTCGCTTTTAAGAGCCCACCCAAAAGAACTGTTACAATTAAACAAGTAGTGTGCCTTGGAGAGGTTGATGGGGGGGGGGGTGTACCTAATCCACCATTATTTCACTTCATATCAAAATAATTCATATTGATTTTTGATGATATATTGTTCCTTATGCCAATTTTTAATTTTAAAACAGTAGCATTTGTGTGACGGCATGGTGGATTTTGGTAGATTTAGGTGGCTTTGAGGCCTTATTGTGTTGCCGTACATGCATAATGAGGTCTAGTTTATTTTGAAAGGGGTGTTGGGGAGGTCTTAAGTTGGCCAACATTGGCCCAATCTAAATATACTGAATGCATTGTTGGATCCATGTTGGGCCAACATTGGCCCAATGTTGGGTCAACAAATGTACTGGATGCAATGTTGGATCAATGTTGGCCCCATGTAAGTTTGGCCAACAATGGGCCAACATTGGGCCGATGGACAAAAAAACATTGGGCCAATGATGGACAATTTCATTGGGCCAACGTAACTGCATATATTGGACCAATGTTGGCCCAACGTAGGACTGCTACCTAGGAAGGGACTCGAAGAACATAGCTACACAAGTCTTGTCAAACTGTGACATTCTATTCCCCCCCCCCCAAAAAAAAAAAATTGGGTGCGACTGTGGATTAAATATATTTTCAAAACGTTTTACGAATCCGAAATCACCGAAATTTACGAAGGAAGAAATTGACCTACATACCTATAACTATGTGACTATTAGACCTAGTAGGACGTTAAACCCCATTTCATTTCATTTCAGTTTTATTAGACCTATTTTACTAATTCTTTTTTCTTTGAGTACCTTGGAAAAAATCAATTTCATCTGCAATTTCAGACTTGCCAACTTCTTTAATAGTTGCACGATTTTCATATTTAGTATGCAAGTAGCAGGGGCGCCGATCGCCAAAACTTCAAGCCACCGTTTACGATTTATTCTCTCGTGTACACTACAAGAACTAGAAATATTTACACTACTGAGATTCCAGCTCCGCCTCCATTCCCAGTAGTGTTCGAAGACTATGTAAAGTCTTTGAGCAAAATGTGTATTCAATTGGATACACAAATGTACAGGCCTACAAATCTTTTCATTTATATAAACTAAAACAAGCCACACACACAGCTAAACATATCAATATTCAATCCCAATTGAAATAAATGTAACATTTTACTGTATTATTATTGGTGATTAAAAATCTGATGGCAAAGGCGAATTTTCCCACGTTAAAATTCAAAAATGGTGATCACATTGAAATAATAACTTTTTGCTTTTTTAAAGTTAAATCTAGCTGTTTATATTGTTCCCATAGCTATTTTAATGATTCACATAGTACCAGTTGTATTATATTATCTATTTTGAATGTGACAGTGGTAATGTTATGTTAGAAATTGCGTGTTTGGAATTTTATAATTTTATAATTATCATACAGTATACCAGATAAAAACATATTATTAATAATCCCTATGGAATATTTTAATTATTTAGTGTTATAATATGAATTATCACTTATTCCCTGTTAAATAAAAATCGGTTACCGGGTGCAGCTGCACAACTTCAAGGACCCTGGCCTCAAGTGCCTGGGACCAACTCTACACTTTCTGAACTGTCAATAAAAGCTCTGGAATGATTTCAGTTTCAAAAAATAAACAGTAAGCAAAACATCGGAAATAAGTGGTGGGGACACAGTATATCATGTCCCCACCACTAAAAATATTGGTGGGGACGCGTCCCGGTGTCCCCCACCGGGATCTGCGCCCATGGCAAGTAGATCTTACTGATGCGACTTGAAAAATGTCATTAGAAATTTTCTAAATTATCACCCCTTGGAGAAATTAAGGATCAAAGTTTTCAAAAAAAAATGACGAAATATAGGCCAGATTGCCTTGAATTTTTTTTTCTGTACTAGTTAAGTAACTACGGATGAGTACACAAAATATGAAGTTAGTCGATCGAACCTGAAGTGCCATCATCTTGAAATGTGAAAAATCCCTAAGGATTTTGCGATATTTTACTTACAGCTATGGTAGTTACATTTTCTAAATCCTTGAAGGAATGCCTAAACAATGTTCCAGGCAGAATTTTGATTTAGGTCAACTGATGGTCACCATTTTGAATTTAATATAGAAAACGGTGAAAATTCTACATTAACGGGCTTGTAAATAAACACAATAGGCCGTAGTTTGTTCAATACGTCTACCTAGCAACGGCGCGTCGAATTACCCAATAACACCCAATAACTGCCCAATACCCAGTTAACATTGATGGTTAGATTTACGTAAAGTTTACGTCATTATGGTTAGATTTTGGTTAGCGTCCAATAATGGTAAAATTCTTTGGTCAAATCATAGATAATACCGAATGATTGCCGACTCATGAATTCTCGACGTTATGTTGCGAAACGCGTGAAACGGCGAGAAAGGTGGTTGATCACTTCCGGTCTTCTGTTCTCGCTGTTTGTTTACTATAGGCCCAGTAGCGATATTTTTATTTAGCGCTTTCTTGTAGTGTTAAATGTGGCATCATCTGGTTAAATGGTAACGAGAAATAGAAGCAATGTTCGAGGTAAGAATAAAAATGAATATCTTATAATTTTGATATTATATTGTATTATAAATAAGTATTACATTTCATGAAAATCTCGACACGTGTGTTGTCCAGTTAAGGCAAAGTTTGACAGCTTTGACCTACTTTTAAAAATCGGCAAAATAGAGTTTTCAATTCATTAATTTGTAAATAATACTTGCACATCATTAATAAATCGTAAATATATAAAATACAGTTTGGTATGAATAATAACATTGCTGTGTTGGCTATATATAAGCTTTTAATTACACAATTTTTTAAAAATCTTTTGTATTTTCAGCAGAACGTACTGGTACCCGTCTTTTGTTTGCTGCCTAGGGGAGTGCCAGCTTGTGAAGCAAATATATTTCATGTTGATTTATTGTGATACTGATAAATAATTGTATGTTTTATTTATGTTATTTACTTCTTCTCATATTGTGTGTGTGTGTGTGTGTGGGTGGGGGGGGGGTATAAATATTGAGACACTAGACATTAATATATTGATAAAGTATTTTATTTATCTATTTATTTATATTTTTTTTTTTTTTTCTTTTTTTTTGGGGGGGAGGGGGGGATATTATTATTTTCATTATTTTATTTGTTTTATTTTAATACTCAACAAGGGATTTGGTTTAAATTGTTTGATTGTATTATATCATTATTGATTTTAATTTTGTATAGTTGAATTAAGCATAATTATTTAATTTTATGTATTTCAAACATCAGAAAATAAACCATTCAAGCTATGTGTAATGTGTTTGTATGGTTATGTTGATGGTTAAATAGGTTGAGAATTAAAGCCAAATGACCAATTTTCGCCAAAAAGGGATCTGCCAGTTGGTGTTACAGAATTCAGTCAATTTTGCTCCGATATTGATAAGGTTGGTTTTGTTACAATGCTTAGATGTATGGCTTTTCAGGAAATAACACGGTTCTGGAGAAAAATTAATATTTAAAAATAGCTGCCGGTCGATATTTAAGGATATGTGTTTACTGTTCCATGTAATTAAATTAATCATTAAAAATATAACCTACAATTTTTGTTTCAATTAAATAAGTTAATCTTAACAATAATATTAGGCTATTGCATTTTTTGATTTAAATAATTTAATCTTATCAGTTGAGGAAGAAAGAGTTGGTATTTCAATCTAATAAGGTGCCTATAAATTATATAATTATTCATCCAATTATGTAACATTAACATTGTCTGATCGCTTTATTTAATAATACATTTATTAATTTATCATAAAAGTATTGTTAATTAAAGATGCGTTTTTAAATGTTAAACAGGCATGATGTAAGAGCTAAATCTGCTTACTGCAGGTCTTTCTTTGGGCCTTAATGTTATGTAAATTATCAATTAGACATTTATTAACATGAAAAGACCATAATCAACTCTCGATGCCATCTGATTGCTCAGATTTTAAATAGATTAGAACGGTATGGTGGTAAATTTTCAATATATTCAATTTGCATTATCTATTTTTGAAATGTTATAGTTAATAACGAGAACGACCAGCTCTTTATCTAAATCTTACATAATTCCCCTTCAAATTTATGTCTATTGTTATTGTTTATTTTAATTTAGGACATAAAGAAATATATTTTGGTTCTCGCTTGGATGACGTGTTTTAATTTTTTTTTTTTTTAAAAAAAACCCTAACAAAACAGTCTTGTTAATTACCCCGGTTACACGAAGTTGAGGAAGAAAGAGTTGGTATTTCAATCTAATAAGGTGCCTATAAATTATATAATTATTCATCCAATTATGTAACATTAACATTGTCTGATCGCTTTATTTAATAATACATTTATTAATTTATCATAAAAGTATTGTTAATTAAAGATGCGTTTTTAAATGTTAAACAGGCATGATGTAAGAGCTAAATCTGCTTACTGCAGGTCTTTCTTTGGGCCTTAATGTTATGTAAATTATCAATTAGACATTTATTAACATGAAAAGACCATAATCAACTCTCGATGCCATCTGATTGCTCAGATTTTAAATAGATTAGAACGGTATGGTGGTAAATTTTCAATATATTCAATTTGCATTATCTATTTTTGAAATGTTATAGTTAATAACGAGAACGACCAGCTCTTTATCTAAATCTTACATAATTCCCCTTCAAATTTATGTCTATTGTTATTGTTTATTTTAATTTAGGACATAAAGAAATATATTTTGGTTCTCGCTTGGATGACGTGTTTTAATTTTTTTTTTTTTTAAAAAAACCCTAACAAAACAGTCTTGTTA